GTTGAAAATCCGACCTTTGACCTGACCTGTGACGTCATCGGTTTGACCTAGGTCAATGAAATTTGGTCACAAGGTAAGTTCCCGGGTGGGGCTATCTAACACCGTTTGAATTTTGAAAATCGGCCGGTAAATTGCCGAGATCTTAGGGGGGGGGGGGCCGAAACGCCCTTCCCCCCCTCTACGGGTGGTAGGGTCCGCCGATAGCCCTACGGGGCGCGGGTTCAGGATATTTTGTCCACTATCCATCTTTCGAAGCATTTTCTACTGTGATGGTCTTCAAAACTTACATTTGTGCTTACATAAAAAAGAAGAAATGGAGCACATGTGATTGTACAGTGAACACATACCGAGAACCCACTGTCAAAAAGTTTTAGCCCGACATCTACGAAAATGGCAAAGTTAGCCGATTTTACTTTTTGCGGTAGTCACTAGTCAAGTGACATTATCAATGCCTCCAAATGCACTTATCGGTACCTTTTCGACATGGTACACCCTCAAAGCTCGCAATGAGCCTTCGCTCGGGTGCCGCTCCCTACCCAGTACCCCCCCCCCCCGCTTCACCGGGCCATGGCTGGATTTCTGCACCCATACCCACAATGTTCCAGGCGTTCCTACGCCCATGCTACTGGGGCCGAGGCCCTGGTTTGCGTTTGGCCGGGGCCCGCTCCTGCACTGCATCTTGGCCTCATCTCCAGTGGCGAATAACAGATCTGTACTCATCAGAGCCACTATAAAAGTGACAGGAATCAGGATTGCTGGGCTGGGCACTGGGCAGGCGTTCGATGTCTCTCGGACAACGAAAATTCTACGTCGTTCGGCCAATTAGTGATGTAAATTACAGAAAATCGGAATACCGATACCAAACTAAATACCAACCAAAACCATCAGGAAATACCGAAACCGAACCAACTTGAGAAAATGAGGAAAATACCAACTTTTTACCGATTTTTCAACCTTGTATACATTAGCAAGGGCTCATAATACCAACAAAATACCAAAAACAATCGGATTGAAATACCAAATCGGTACCAACTTGGTATCGGTTTGGTATCGGTATACCAAAAAGTTGGTATCCGATTGACATCACTACGGCCAATCACGTTCCATAACCGCAGCCGAGCCCCCGCTGACCTTTAGCGGGATTGGCCGGACGACGTAGAATCTTGGTCGCCCGAGAGACATCGAAGTTCGAACGCGGGGTGAGGTTGGGTTGGTGGAACTATAGTAGGGGAGAAGCTGATGCCTGCATACCTGAGAAAGCTTTACTTCCATTCTGAAGGTGCGATGCATGCTTTTTAATGAAAATAGCTGATTCCGATTAATAAAGTCACCGCTTAATGAATCCAAAACACCTTCTCACCAAGGTGGATTTATTGGGGATACCACTGTGTAGTCCCGTTCGATGTCTCTCGGGCAATGGGGGCTGCGGTCATGAATTTGTAATTTAGACGAAGGTGTTTACAGGGAAATCTCTTCAATTGCTTTGCTACCAAATCCTAGAAGAGCTACCATATTACCAGCAAAGCGCGCCAAAACTTACGCGTGGCGCGCATATGTTGTCATAGAGTTCAGTGGTTGTCAGTGTTGTTTGTGTTTATTATAGGTATCTTGGTTTGTCACTCGCGTCGATGATTTTTTGTTAGTGTTGGCTGTGGTGTTATTGGTGTTATTACCTTTTTTGCTGTGCGATTAGTATCGTGTGATAACTTCAGTTTGGCGAGGAAGACTGAACTGCAATATTTCAAGATCACTTATATCAGTCCTATATCAAGGCTATATCAGGTTATATAGCCTTGTATCAATATCGACAAGGTAAGAGATGAGTCATTAATTTCCTGACAAAGGTCAAAGTCCAGCTCAAGCTTGGATTCCAATTCAAATTCAAATTCGAATTAGGTCGATATTGATATGACGATTGGCATTGTTTTATCCTGTTGTGCGATTTTATCTATTATCTATGCGATTTTACCTGTATTTTGAAATAGCTCTCGTCACCCTTAGAAGAAAATTACCAACATCAAATGACTGAGCAGTGGCTTGGAAAGTCGCCCTTTGCCATTGCAGCCTCACGTTTCGGTTTGTCCAAATCTGCTACTAATTGCAAAGCTTCTTCTCAACCTTTGTCCTTATTAAGCTTACATCTTGACATTGTGATTATTCCGGACAGGTGTTGGCAACATGGGAATCCTTGGACTTTCAAAGTTGATTGCGGACATTGCTCCATCTGCCATCAAGGAAAATGAAATGAAGAACTTCTTTGGTGAGTGAGAAGAGGATGACTATCTGTCACAGTCTTCTTAATATGCTGCCAGGCTTTTGACCTTGCAACGGATTGATGATGTTGACATGTGCAAAATGTGGAGCTTGTACGGCCCTCCAGGTATTATGTGGCTGGTTGCCAACATCACAATAATTGATCTGCATTGATGAACACGTCTAATGGCTGTTGAAAACCACTGCCGAGATGTGTGCACAAACCCTCTTCTCATTTGTATTGATGCTTACCGAAGAGATAGGATACGGGGGTAAGGGAGCAAACTACCCGAGACGAGAGGGGTAGCTCGTAGTGGCTACCCCCTCTCGTCATTTGTTCTGCGACATGTTGGTCATATCTTCTCTTGAACTGGTTGATGTTGTCGCTGGATACCACATGTTCTGGTAAACCGTTCCACATGTCGACCACTCTTGCTGTAAAGAACTTGTTGCGCTTTAGTGTTCGATGTCTTGGTTTGACGAGCTTCATCTGGTGTCCTCTAGTTCCCAGGTACCTGTCATCCAGCTTGAGGAATGTGCCATTGAGTCATTTTACAGGAGTGTCTCTGTCATTTGAAGTTATTACACCAAAAGCACATAGGCTAACCAACCACTCTTTTGCTGGAGGGCTGTACAAAGTCAAGAGTAATGCTATTTGTGTTACATTTTTCATATGGTAGGTACTGTATAATGACAACTCTAAATGGCAACCATCATTTCATGTTTATGCTTGCAGGATTGGCATTCATCTCATCTAGTCCAATGGATATTTTCCACATGTCATGTCATGCAAACATTTTTTATGGCAAGAAAAGCCACATTTATCCATGAAAAGCATACTCCTTTGAATTGTCGGCATGCAGTAGAGCTTAAAACTAATGATTGCACACACCCCTGCGTTAAGTGCCATGGCTCGTGCTTTTCCAAAGTTTCAGCACTTCTGCGCCCATCCAAGCCCTCGTAGGAGTAGACTGGCTGCCCGACTCTCTGATAGGTGGCGTTGGAGAGGATCGCGTATGTTGTAGGTGGCGCCACCATACCGTTGCTTCCATCGTGATAGCCTTGATGAGGCGATGGGTGGAGAGGGAGACTTCCATTTCGCGTCTAGCTAGACGCGTCTAAGTCTAAGATGCGTCTAGCTGGACGGCGGCTGCGTCTATCTGGCGACAGCTACCTTTAGACGCGTCTAGCTTGGAAGTCTCCGTCCAACAGTTAGACGCCAAGATAGACGCCACTTGGACGTGTGCTCAATTAAACACCAGTTGGACGCCAGTGGAAGTCTCCAGACTCCACCCAATGTGTATTTTACAGTGTATCCTTCACTTGAACATTTGTGTATTTTCATCACGAAAACAGTCAGCATTTTTAACCGCTTTGGATCAGGGTTGGCATTTTTGCCGGCAAAAACTAGTTCATGCCATTTGCCGGCTTAAACCGGTTTTAACCGGCAAAAAGTGGCAAAAACTGGCAAAAACCAAAAACCATCGCAATGATATGCCTCGACATGGATTTGAACATGAAACATTTTAAGGAGAATTCGGTGAAAGCTTTATGCTTTCAAACAGGAGTGACATTGACCGTTGAAGTGTTCTATAACTCCAAAACACTTTCATGGGCCTTCCATAAGGAACCAGTAAGACGCCTTTTGGGGTTGACAAATGAGCCAGTGCAAGAGTGAGTCCTGCACAATCAGAAGTGCGAAGGGGTATCTGCCACTGATATGCCACTGATACTTTCTATCCCTGTTTTCCTGTATGTGATGGTGTCGACACAAGGTTAACTTAGATACCACCCATGCTGTGCGCCATTAAATGCTAATCACATATTTAAATGTTTCATTTGTAAAATCTGCTGTGATCAAGTAGGTACTGAAATACGGTCTTACTGCTTTCGCCAGGCTGCGGCAATACTCTTTTGATCGAGGGAAAGTTAGGGTTGTCTGATTTTTTAATATCTTCTTTTCTATAAGGGTTAAAGCCGATCTTTTTGGCAACGTGACTGGACCAACGGTTGACAAAATGCTAACACAGAGGTACCCCCACGGAGGCCTAAAGTCGGGGTAGTCAGTAATTCCATCAATTATCCTTCACTTGTCAGATAAGCCCCAACGAATTCAGTTTCTCCAACCCAATTCGAGACGGCACCGCGCTGACCAAAGGAGCCTGTTTGTAGTCTATTGTAGTCTATCACTGAGAACGGAATGCCAGCGCGGGAGTTTTTACTTTTTAGTCGACGTAGGGTCACCCAACGGCCTCGAGATGCCATGAAATCGAATCCATGCGAGCTCAATAACCAGGATCGTCGACTAGTTTCTGGGTTCGGGCTGCCGTGATCACACATTGTTGATGAGAAGAACTAACCCTCTCAGGTTCGTTAAGCGACCCCTTTTATTTTTAACTACAATATTTCATGCCTTGGAATGTTGACTAGTAGACAACTTTTTTGTACGCTCTTATATCCATACCTATGTCCACTGGAATATTTGCCTGAAATGTTCAAGAATAATGCTCTTTATTTAGATAGCGACGCTTATGCGTATTGCCAAGATTCAACTAGGTTTTACTGTGCTGCACATACTTTGCATTACATTGCTGATCTATACTAATGTGTACCGCTTTGTTAAGCCCTTGAAAAGTGATGAATTTAGTTATTGAGCTCTCCGACATGTTTTGCTAGGGGTTCGTCTTTGTGCTAGCAGTTATGTTCTGTTGCTGGATATTTTTTTTCCATCACCAAAAAGATGCATATCAGCGTATGTACATTCATTTATTTACAATGATTGCACTGGTTATTTACAAAAAGAAAAACACGTATCACAGCATTCGCATGCATGACTACCCCACACTACACATGATTTGTATCACTGAGCGGCTCGACGTGGCAGTATAAACATTTGCAGCTAACGCTAGCGCGATGCCCGACACTTACACACACATCATCATCATTGTCATCAATCGCTCGTCAAGCTGGAGTGTTTAAAGACCGTGGTATGCTGTTTGTCTCGCGTCCGGCGCGGTCCCTGTCGAAAAAACTACACTTCCGCGTAACTTTGTGTCCGAGCTATGGGATGTGAGACCACAGAACGGGGCCGAAACCGACCGCTGGATCCGGGGGGCTCAGGAATTCGTGGATGTGCTCAAATGTCTACGAACAATGACCAATGAGCTGTAAGAGATTTTTGATGGTGGAAAGTTGACTATGACGGGGTCATGCGGCAGGTTTTCTGCACGCTCTCTCTCTCTGCGATGCAGCGAGCGGTATTGAGATTCAGTGTGCATGGCGCGGCGACCGTGGTGCCTGGCCGCGGCCGCTCCTGACTGGCGCCCCTCACTGGTGGGTGCTCACGGGCACACCGCTCACGCCTCACGAATCACCCTGTACGCTCCCATCTTGCCCTCCGGCGCGGCACGCAGCGCGCGGCAGTGTGAGAGCACCGCCGCGTACGCGTACCACACGAACACAATCACGATGATTCCGACCGGCACCAGCGGCACCAGCACTGCCCAGCTGAACTCGACCGTGTCGGCCGGGTGGACGGCCGGCGCCACCACGCGCACCAGGTGGATCACTCCTCCCAGCCACGAGAGCGACAGGCACACCAGGAAGATGCCGTACCAGGTCAGCCAGGCGGCCTGCAGCTCCCAGCGGCGCCGGCGCACGCCCACCATCAGCAGGCAGCAGGCGAGCGCGTTCAGTGCGCACACGAAGCACGCGCAGAGCACGGCCGTGCGGACGCCGACCGTCAGCTCCGGGTCCAGGTGGTAGTGGCCGCCGTGCGTGACGCCCAGGTAGACGAAGCCGGCCAGGATGGCGGCGATGTTGACCGCGAAGTAGATGGCGCCGATGATGAAGGAGAAGGTGCTGGCCGGCACGCACAGACACCAGTGGTGTGTCGGCGGCTCCAGCACGGTCACAGTCTGGGTCATGGTGACGACGGGTCTGCTGGAGGAAGGACGACAGTCAGCGGCGGCCCGGGCGGAGCGGCGGACACGTGTTACCAGATAATGGGACATGACACGTGCTACCAAATAGCCGGGCATGACACCGTGTTGTCACATGGCTGGACGTGTAATGAGCTCTCTGGATCCGGCTTCCGAAGCGCTACAGGTACAAATACGTTTTTTAAGCACATCATCTGCAAGCACAGCCGTAAGTTGAGTGGATTAAATGTAAATTTAAACTCATTAAATAAAAAGCAATATGCGTTAAAGTAAGTTGTGCAATTCAGCTAACTTACTCTCACGCTGGCAGCTTTGTCGTCTTCAAGGTAGTATATGATCGCTACTGTAATAAAAAGTAAACGGCTGCCGTTCATATCGCACAATTAACCACAACCTAATCCACTCCAAATCGCCAGCTAGCCATCCCTGTTGCTCACCTTCACTCAGTTTCCGATCTGCACAGCTCTCCCGTTCCTCCTTTGTGCTCTGTCGGCGCGGAGCGGACGTGCGATCGTCGCGAGCGGCGGGGGTCGATTCTGGCGGCCGGATGCGGCCGGCGCGTTATATAGAGGGGCGCGCCGCCGCCGCCGCCGCCGCCGCCGCCGCCGTGGCTGACGTAACAGGCAGCGCCTGAGTCACCGCGGCGCCGCTCAAACCGCGAGGAGCGCGAACTCTGAACAGCTGCTGAGGCTCGAGCTGCGTGAAGCTGTTTGAGGCTTTCACGCACAGATCAAGATGCAAATGCGTATGAGTTTGCGTGTGAAGATCTGAGGCTGTCGGGGATGGTCGTCTTGAAGGGAACAGCGAAGGTGTTGCGAGCAAGCGCGTTGTATGAACACTGGTGGATCCAAACTAGACCTTTCGGGCCATTGTTCCGCCTTGGATCCCCCGCAGCTGCCGAACATGAGTGATATCCTACTAGCCTTTGGAAATTGGAGAAACTTCTTGGAGAGTAGGTATGTCAGAGGCTTAGCGTGCAATACCATGTTTTTGGATCCGTCAGTAGTTGAAGTTGGAGTTGTGCTACTGTTTTTGCGGGGACTTCAATTAGCCTGTTGATTTGGCCTGCGCCAATCACGACACCACTGCACAAACAATTAAAACTATATCGATTCCCCGCATCGACAAATCATTGGGAACAATGTTGCAATGTATCGTTGGCTCCCCGATTGGTTGATTGTGGTCGCAGCGCTCCAAATCACCCGGAATGATTGATATGTAATTGCATACTGAACAAAGTCGTAAATTATGTGCTGACCATCGGCTGTCTGTTCTGTTCGATCCCACCGATACCAACCGTCCCTCCAAGTAGTAGCCAAGGTCTCAATTACCACTGCCAATTGCCTGTAATCGCTGTGCGCTAGTCGTTATATTGGGGCTGAATGGCTTTGTGCTGAGTTTAGCTAGTAAAAAGCTGCCGTGACAGGCATTAAAAAATTGTTTAGCACTATCCATTTAATTTGGCTATTTTAACAGCTTCTTCACCTTTCGTAAACCTTAGAAATCGCTTCCAAATCTGCTCACGAATTGTTCTATTTCCATCCATTTCCGATCGGTATGATGGACTCCAGGCTCTATTCGGAGGCGTTGTTCGGTCTATTCCTGGACGCTGGAACTCTGACCGCGTAAACTGCGAGATATTCCAGCGGACGCGGGGGCCATCACGAGCCTTTGTGGGGGCGTTCCCAGAGAGCCTGCTTAGAGGAAACGTGACTTGACTGGTTTGGGTGGGAGGGGAGAGCCGCTGGCGCTAACTCACCTAGTCTTTGGTGTTTGGGTTACTGATTTCTTATGCTGTTCTTGCAATTCCATCTAGGATGACATGTCTTTGCTTCACCCAGTGTTGAAAATTTGGTTTTGCTTCCATCCTGATATCCGAGCGCTGCGACTGTTGCCACGTTGTCGAAGCGTTGTTCGTTTTGCAGCGATGTATTTCCAGTAGACTTCGTTGGCGCTTTGTGGCCGAATCGAACAAATTTCACACGCAGCCATGTATCACTAGATCCAGACTCTGTAATCACATACCATTTTGTCGATTGCCAGCGGACATTTTTCGACCCGATGATTGAAATAGATTGATCTGTGGCTATAGATAATTCTGACGGTAGAATGGTGAGGCCGGTGGTCTCCCGTGGCAGGGCCCTTTGTTTAATTCGCTGGGAAGTGAACCTTGTATGGACACTGCAATTTACAGTATGATTCAATGGAAGAGGCGTACATCACATATGCGTACTAGACCTAAGAACTTTGTAAATTTAATTCAGTTCACTTTTAGTTTTGCCCACTTCTTACTACCGTTCCTCTGCTACCGTGCAGGGCCTTTCCTTCTTGTCCTGTATCGCTGCTCTTCATTGCATCATTCGCACGTGGAAACGGCCGGCACAAAAAGCGCTCTCCCCGTGCACCCATTACCACGTGTGCGTTCGGCGCTGCTGCCGTCCATCTCTGCTGACGCACATTGCTCCAACAGACGGTAAATAACTTTTGAAAATACCTATCTCCAATTTTAGTGTTTTCTGAACCAAAATTTTGCGAGGAATCCGATGGTGTGGTCCCTGAAATCTGAAAAATTTCCATTTTGGAGATAGCACCTATTTTTTGAAAAGTAAATATTCGTCATGCACAAAAGTCAAATAAATTGAAAATATAATGAGTGAATATTTATACTAACACTAGAATGTATCGAACATGAATTAGTGATATATTTTAGCTGAGATGATACTATATCTGCTCATACATGTACATGAATTAGTACATTAACCCTCGTCGGCCGAGAAGGGGTGGGGCGGATGCCGCCTCATAGGGGTTTTTCGCGATAGCTCAAAACACGCTGAGGGAAAACAGCTGAAACTTGGCATACCTAATATTTTATTCAAGCTGGATCTTTTGACACCAACTGCGTTTTCAGGTCAGGTCAGGTCACTGACCTATGACGTCATAAATGAACCTCTGCACGGTCCTCAGAAGTTGCAACTTTGCAACGCCCTCAGTGCCAGAGGAACTTTCACAGGAAGATGAAACTTACAGGACGTAGTATCCTTTAGAGGTCTCACAAATTATATATCTCAGATTTTTCCCAAATGTCACATGAGGTCAGTTCGGTCACGTGACCTCACCATAATAAGTCAATGGAGGGAAATATGAAAACTGTTATTTTGACGCCGGAAATTGTCTAAAAACTGTCCCAAGCACATGAAATCGTGGTTTCATGCACTCTTTGTAAGGTCCGATCATGAAACCACGATTTCATGTGCTTGGGATAGTTTTAGATCATTTCCGGCGCCAAAATAACAGTTTCAATATTTCCCCCATTGACTTATAATGGTGAGGTCACGTGACCGACCTGACCTCATGTGACATTTAGGTTAAATCCGAGATAAACAAGTTGTGAGACCTCAGAAGGATACTACGTCCTGTAACTTTCATCTTCCTGTGAAAGTTCCTCTGGCACTGAGGGCGTTGCAAAGTTGCAACATCTGAGGACTTCGCAGAGGTTTATTTATGACGTCATAGGTCAGTGACCTGACCTGACCTGAAAACGCAGTTGAGGTCAAAAGATCCAGTTTGAATAAAAGATTAGGTATACCAAGTTTCAGCTGTCTACCCTAAGCGAGTTTTAAGCTATCGCGAAAAGCCCTATGAGGCGGCACCCGCCCCACCCCTTCTCGGCCGACGAGGGTTAATGTACTAGTTCATGTACATGTATGCGCAGATATAGTATCATCTCAGCTAAAATATATCTCTAATTCCTGTTCGACACATTCTAGTGTTGTTACAAAAATTAACTCAATATATTTTCAATTTATTTGACTATTATGCCTGACGAATATTTATTTTTCAAAAAAATAGGTGCTATCTCCAAAATGGAAATTTTTCGGATCTCGGGGACCACACCATCGGATTCCTTGCAAAATTTTGGTCCAGAAAACACTAAAATTGGAGATAGGTATTTTCAAAAGTTATTTACCGTCTTTTGGGGCAATGTGGACGGGTGGTGCGTTCGTGCGCGCCTCCAGCGCGGTCAGTTTCATCAGCCGGTGCCCGCCCGGACCGCGGCGTTGACCAGTCGACGGACAACGGACGGTGACCCAGGCAGTCAGAGAGACTCTCTGTCTACATCTCCTCTCCCTCCCCTCTCTCTCTCTCCTCTCTCTCTCTCTCTCTCTCTCTCTCTCTCTCTCTCTCGCTCTCTCGCTCTCTCGCTCTCTCGCTCTCTCTCTCTCTCTCTCTCTCTCTCTCTCTCTCTCTCTCTCTCTCTCTCTCTCTCTCTCTTATATTCCGCTATACTCTGCCGTTTTTTGCTATGTCTACTTTGTCTCTTTCTCTTTTCTTTTTTGTTCCATCCTCTCCTCTTCACTTGTTGATCACCGTGAGCTGCAGCGTTTGTATTCAATACCACTGTGCTAGGAAATAATAGTATTTCTTTGAAAATGAAATTTAAAGAAACACGTTCCAATGAAGGCACATGATTTAAATTTGAACATGATAACTTTTCTAGATAATTCTTCTGCATCCTTTCTTTTATTGTATTTATTTTGTTTATATCGCCACCTCATTCATTTTTTACTACCCAGCTTTATCTTCCCGAGATTCATCCAGTTAGGATCTTCAAGTAGCGTGTATTGTTATTAGATTGATGATGCGCTGGCTCGCCGAGTCCGTTGTCCGCTGGTGGACTGCCGACACTGTTACTCCGGGCTCAGCTCGGCTCGTCAGCGACCTTGGGGGGCCATTGTTGAGCTGCAGCACCCCGCCCCACGCCCACAGCTCCCCCCCCCCCCCCCACAGCTGGCTGCTGTACCGCCGCACGGACACCCAAGCGGCAGAGCCCCCTCCCCTAGTCGGTGTCGATATCTCGGGCTTGGCTCGGGCTCGTGAGTCTGATACTGAGCGCTCGCCCCCCACGGCTAGTCCCCACGGCTAGTCCGTTATCTCTGGACCCCGCCGGGTGATGTTGGTGCTCCCGGCCCCACCGACAGCCAGTGTATTGACTCTGGAGGCACTGTTGTCGTCTGTAGATCGTGTATTGCTGACGCGACCTGTCGGCAACCGTTGGCTATTGTTTGTGATGCGGGCTCATGGCTGCCTAGCGAGCCTGGTTAGGCCCCCGGGGAAAGGAAAGCGGACTGCTTCCAAAAACATCCATGCTTTCCTGGGCGCAAAATGGCCCTGGTAGTCGGCGCGCCCTAATGCTCTAATGAACAACGAAAATCCATGCTTTCCAAAACAAAACGAAAAGCTTTCTGCCATAGGCTTTGTATGGAAAGGGCTGCCTGTAAATCTTAATTGTCTCAAACTATTGAGTTGCTGTTCTTGCAGATACCATGCCGCTGGTATAGAAAGTGAGCAACGTAAATTAATGCTTTTATAGTTTCAGCCTCTTGCTATAAATTTGAAGGTGCTGTGATTGCATGAAACGCTTCGCTCATGACAGCTTTATCGGCAATTAATCACCGCTGGTATCCCTTCCGTCAGCAAAGGACGTGAAATAAATTGTGCATCATAATATATTTTAGCAAAGATTAATGACTTCTTTTGAATTG